ACTCATAACTAAGGGTGCGAATGAGGAAGAAGTTCAACTTGAGCACAGACAGTTTAGCAGGAAGTTCATAAATAGACAAGGTCAATAATTATTTTTTCTTTTTTTTGAAGTGCCTATTTAGATTAAAGAAACGATAAAGCCGTTAAATAGATGAGAATATTTATTAAACATCAAAATAGAGCTTCTAGAACCTAAACGGGGTCTTTAACTGTTGCGCAAAAATAATTTAAAAAATTTCGCAACTGTGGCTACTTGACAATCCTTAGTTGATTGGTTACGATATTATCAGCTACATTTTGTGTCCAAAAGACTAATTCGTTTTTTAGACATTTTGCTGTTTCTTCATTAATTCAATAGCCTCTAAATCAGCCTGCGTAAAATGAGCATTCCCAACCTGCCTATTCACATTGGCGACGAATGTTGAACAACCAGTCCACCATTGCGGGCATCGTATCAAAAACAGCGCAGTTCCAGTACCGTTTTTCCAGATGAAGCATGGTCCTATAGGAACGAAGTTGACTGAGGAACCTGAGTAGTCACCGACAAACAAGATCGCTTCTACAAACACCTTAAATGGTCTTCAGGAGGATGCCCGAAGGGCTTGGGCTTGTATGACCCGATGGAGGTCGTAATTCATCAATGAAGAAAACCCTCTAAGTTGAACCCTTGCTTCTCAACGCTTAAAGTTACAATTGCGATGATTTCGGCAAATTCTGTGAAAGCGCCAATATACATGATGACCAAGCAGCCATTCCTTGCCTGACCGCGAAGCATAAGATCCTGCGGAAAATCCAGAATGACCCGAAGCTGTAGCTCCAGTGAAGTTTTCTCTAGATTCTAACTGTTTCTATATGACGCTCAGGCACTTTAGCAAGATCAGGAACTTTCTGACGGTGCTACCACTTGATTCGAAATGACAGCAGGCATTTAAAACTGAGTGACATGACTACTTTCGTTAGTTTCTTTGTGTTAAGTAATTTTTCGGAAAAAAAGATGAGTCAACCATTGACAAAAAGTACTTACAGTTCCTCATTCCAGTCTTGCGATTTTCGAGGTAGACGTCGTAAAACTTGCGGATTTCTTGTCCCAAGATCTTCTGCTTGAGCAATAAAAAGTCATAGCGGCAAACGTACATGTTCAGGCAGGTTTGGTGAATCTCATTCATGTCCTGCATGTTCAAACACATATCTGATGACATCGGCGACCCCATGCACCTCTGGTACAGTTGTTCCATGCTCATTCTATACTGAGGATAAAACGGATACTCTTTCAAGATTTCCGGGGCGGCGGTGTACACGGGTCCAATCAATTCTGACTCCG